AGAAGGGGATGCGACCTATGCACTTTTTTCTTCGCTATAAGGGGGAAGGGGCGATACCTTCGTCATCACTTATAAATTTCTGTTGTCATCAACTACAAGCAAGAAAGAATTGAGTATGAGTCACACGATCCATGGAGGAAAGAGCGATACAAAGGACAAGGGCGATAACGAATCCGACGGTAGGAGTAAAATCATCTTCTCATGTGATTAAAGAAAATTTTTTGAGGTACTATGTGAGAATTTTTTAAAATATTTTTTTAAAAGAATATATATATATATATATATATATATATATTCTATATATGTATATATATATATATATATATATATATATATACATATATATATAAGTTAATTGGAATGTTTAAGGACCAGGTTGCCAAACGATCAAAGGACAGGGTTCTCGGTGCATCTTATTTCCTTAAAGAAACTAAGAACAGCGGCGGTGGACGCAACGCACTGCAGCAGATCCCCTTCCAACCAACGGAGTCGGTTTTGTCGATGCCTTTTCGCTTCCATCCCACCTCGTCGCCTTTGGATCCCCAATCCGACCACCTCTGCCTATAACGGTTCTCCCGGCGAGGAATGGTGAAGCATCCCGGCTTCGCGAGTGGTAGTCTTCTTTAGCCGGTTGCGGAGATGGGTTTCGTGTGGTCGTTGCTGGAGAATTGCGGATTGCGGATCTTTTGCTTGGCGTGGCTGCCGGTGGAGTTGTCGCGTGGGTATCTTCGGTTCGTTTTGGTGTTCTATGCCTTGGCTAGGGTTCTCGCCAACATGGAAGGTATGGAGTGCCCTTCCTCGGACCGTAGTGCTGGTCCTTGGGTGATTGATTTGAATCTGAGAGCTAGAAATCTTCCCTGTTCTCATGGAAGGGACGTGGTAGATGCTTCACTGATGTGACGTGGTCCGCTGGATTTGGAAAGGGGCACGACGTATTTGGTTTGATATCCAAATTTGGAGGTCTTTTCTGTCCTGGGTATGAATTGGCGTAGTAGTCAAATGGTTGCTGTAATCGCAACTCAAGGACGATTTCCTTGTTTTAGGTTATGCAATTATGCAATCATGTACCACCAAACAAAGGAATAAGTCTGATATATACGTTGGGTGGTGGCTTCGAGAGAAAGTTTCTTTCCTGTCAGTATTTTTTTTGTCGATATCCCCCTTTGTAAGGTCTTTGTGGAAAGTGAGGGTGATTTTTTGTGAAAGATTCAGCGTGTTTGTTTGGGGATGGTGTAGAGCATGGTCTGCTTGATTTAGATAGGGATACTTGTAGAGTTGCTTAGATATCAAAACTTGTCAGGTATTTTGTCCAATTGGAATTTGGGTTCTTACTTTTACTAGTTTTTAGTTGGTGGAGTTAGGAGAGTGTTTTTTTCCCCGGAAAATATAAAATTTTACTGATCAGTAGATAAGTAGGTAGAGGTTATTAGCAATAAACAGACCAGGAGTTGATGATAACCAGTTAGGAGAGTCTCTCAGTGACTGTGTTTGTGACTCGAAATATTTGCTTTTATTTGATTGTGTGTTTAATTAGTAATTACCAGTCAGACCAATGGAATAAGACTGACAGATATGGATGGTTGTTTTATGGGAAGAAGCTTCTTTCTTTGAAGTGATTTTCAACTTCTCTCTAAGTTTGTGTTTTATGACGGTGTACTTTGGAAAAAGATGGTGATGGATTGAAAATAGTGGTCGCTCTTGGTCAAGTTATGACCATTTTCTGCCTTTCATAAGTAAAGAATTTGTGCTCACAATATGTTTCCCTATCTGTACATTTGGTAGCTTTCCAGTGGGTCCCATCATGTTACTATTTGTTATTTTTCTAGAGATCGACATCTCTTGAAACATGGATAGATAGTTCGTTGCTATAGTTGATGATCATTTGGAACATAGATAATTTTTCTTTGGTATAGTTGATGGTCATTTGGTTGCAATTACAAATAGTAATGCCGATTTTTGCAGAACGTACAACCCAAGTATATAAGAGAGTGGTGGGCGGTTATCAAAAATATTTGCCATTATAATAATGGTTAACCATATGTATAATGCAAATAGTGCTTTTGCAAAAGGTCCAGTAAAACTGAGAAAATATGTCTGGTTTAATGGTGAAAACACATTATTTTCGATGTTCTTCCCAGATTAGGACTTTTTTGTTCATGTGTTTTTTCGTTTGGCTAATCATGCCTTTTATTTGATCAAAAGATGCATTCGACACTCTTATATTTATTAGAATATACTGACAATGTAGGAAAAATATCAAAATTATTGCCCAGACATCAATCTCGGTAGAGTTGCAGAGTTAAGGAATTTACTGTGGATTGACCATCTTGGTAGAGTTGCAGTGTTGAGGAATTTAATGTGGATTGACATGGTCCATTTTGTGATGCCTCATGGAAGTTCTAAATAATGCAATGTTGCCAATTTTTCTTGGACTCCTATGATTAGAACATGCATAATTTGTTTTTTTCCCCTCTATAATTATGGTATTAGTTCAACTATGCATATACTGTTTTGTATTGATGTTCTCCTACTTTAACACTAGAATCCCTTTCTGCAACAGCTTTTTTTTTTAACCCTTGAAGTACTTAGGTGGTTTTAGGTTTTATCTTGTTCTTCTAGTTTCATGTGCTAAAGTTTGGTGCCAACAGGTGATGCTTTGCACAATCTCAAGACCAACTTAATTGATCCTAATAACGTGCTACAGAGCTGGGATCCAACTTTGGTCAATCCATGTACGTGGTTCCATGTCACTTGTAACAATGACAATAGTGTTATTAGAGTGTAAGTGTACCCACCTCTTTGTGCTATATTTTTGTCATTTTGGAACTCTATGAACTGACCATGCTCATCTTCTTTCAGTGATCTTGGTAATGCTCAGCTTTCTGGTACTTTGGTCCCCGATCTTGGTCAGTTGAAAAATCTGCAGTATCTGTAAGTTCTGCATCAGTTGTTCTGGATCTTCTGAGAATCGTAATTGTGAATTGGTATTGAACAGTTGACCAGGCCAATGTCTTATTGCCATTATCAATTTACAATAAATAATTTTGTAAAAGTATGATAAGAAAAGATCTTGACATTTATATTGTTATTTTACTTCTTGATAAGCGAATTTATTGATATAGGAAAACAATAGATTTGGATGCAAGATGACAATGCCTCTTTAGCATAACAATGTGCTTTCTTTCAATCTCACCTTGATCACACAACTGCTCTTTTGTTTGCTTATTTCAGGCATCTCCCAAACCAATAACACTTCTAGGTAGAAGTTAGCTTTTCACTATAGCTGACAAACATGGACTTAACAGTTCTCAGGTGTTTGTGTTAAATGCTCTTAACTAGTATTTCTATAAGCTTCCATCTGAATCTATGTGAATTACACAAAATTATGGTTATAGAATTTGGTTTGTTGATATTTTGCAGTTATGTGTTATTCTTTGGGTTTAATTAATGATTTTTTAAGCTGAAATTTTAAACATGTTGGAACTATTGAAATTATTAATAAGACAGTGACCACAAGATGGCCTTAAACAGAACATACTGAAATTCCTTAGCTCTGAGATTTTTCATGATTTATATAACCGGTATACTGAAATTTAGGTCCTCTGCCAAATGTATATTTTTGACTGATACAGAATCTTATTCTAGACATGTTTTTACTATGAATTGTATCATGATGCTAATTACAATGATCAGTGATTTCAAACTCAGCTTCACATTCACCTGTCTTTCCAATGGCAGGGAACTTTACAGCAACAATATTAGCGGGACGATACCTAGTGACCTTGGAAATCTGATGAACTTGGTCAGCTTGGATCTTTACCTGAACGGCTTCACTGGTGAAATTCCTGAGTCATTGGGGAAGCTAACAAAGCTGCGTTTTCTGTATGACTTTGTCCTTTCTGAACTTTGTTTATTTGGGTCTTGCATGCTTAAAAAAGGACTTTTATTTTTTTTTGGTTTTGTAAATTCTGTTTCTTGGGTTACTTTTGAGAATATCTATTATCAAGTATGAATTATATCTCTGTTTTGTGGCTTGATGTTTTGAAGCTCCACCTAATTGAATATTTGGTGCTGAGTTTTTTTACCAGTGGTTATTTTTTTTCTTTTTTCCATTTCTCTTTTACAATTTAATTATTATTATTTTCTTATATTTCTGTTGAAGGATAGCCGGCTTAACAATAATAGTTTGTCGGGTCCCATTCCTAAGTCTTTGACTAATATCACTGCTCTCCAAGTTCTGTAAGTTGATCTGATTTTTATATATTTGATACACCTTTCAAAAATATTGTAATTGTTACTATGTAATTGTGTCTTTATTTTGACAAAAAACATGCAGGGATTTGTCAAATAACAACCTGTCTGGTGAAGTTCCATCAACTGGGTCCTTCTCACTGTTTACTCCAATAAGGTGCATTTTGGGTTTGATAAAATTGTAAACATCAATTGTTATCATTGTTTCTGATGATATGGAATAAATTTGCAGTTTTGCTAACAACCCTCTTTTATGTGGCCCGGGTACAACAAAGGCTTGTCCTGGTGCTCCTCCCTTATCCCCGCCACCTCCCTTTGTTCCTCCAATTCCACTGTCATCCCAAGGTAAGTAATTGTGCCTGTTGTTTCTGCTTGATTGAAGTTATTTCATTATGATTTTTTTTCCTGACTGTAGGCAAATTTGATGTGTTCGTTTATTTTGTCTCTGATTAGTACGGCACATAAAGTTAGCAACTTATTTCTTTTGATTTCTCCTCTCTCTCTCTTTCTCTCATTCCCTTCTCCATCAATCTAAAAGGGTTTGTCAGTTTGTATAGGCTTCATGTTAGAGTCCACTGCTTAACAAGGGCTAATGGGATCGCATGTCGGCAGCATGTTGCTTTGAAGCACATAATTTTGTCTTACACTTGGGGAGACCTTTTTTTACCTTTTCAGATCATGCTCTTAGAACCATGGGTGCCAGTTCATGTATGGTTTATAATGTAAAAACTCTTGTGGTTGAAATCTAAAGGTTGTTAAATGCCATTCAACAGGAAGTAGTGCTTCTAGCACTGGCGCAATTGCTGGGGGAGTTGCTGCTGGTGCTGCTTTGGTTTTTGCTGTTCCTGCTATAGTGTTTGCATGGTGGCGGCGTCGTAAGCCACAAGAACATTTCTTTGATGTACCTGGTTAGTACATAAGGACTGGATTTATTTACTGTTGTTACTATTATGATGCTTAATATTCCAGATATGGTGTGCAGCTGAAGAGGACCCAGAAGTTCATTTGGGCCAGCTTAAAAGATTTTCCCTGCGAGAATTACAAATTGCAACTGATAATTTTAGCAACAAGAACATCCTGGGAAGAGGAGGATTTGGGAAAGTCTATAAAGGACGACTTGCAGATGGTTCACTTATAGCAGTAAAGAGGCTAAAAGAGGAACGCACTCCAGGTGGGGAACTCCAATTCCAAACAGAAGTTGAGATGATTAGCATGGCTGTGCATCGGAACTTACTTAGGCTTCGTGGCTTTTGTATGACACCCACTGAACGGTTGCTTGTGTATCCTTATATGGCTAATGGAAGTGTTGCATCACGCTTAAGAGGTATTTATTATTCTTTTATACCAGACCACTTATTGCTTTTTAGAACCTGAAAAGTTTAGCTACATCATTTCTAGTTTTTTTATTGCCACTGGAGAACTACATTTTTAAAACATTTTAAAGAGAGATTTTATGCTTGTAGAGCGGCCGCCATCTGAGCCACCACTTGAGTGGGCAACACGACGACAGATTGCGTTGGGTTCTGCAAGAGGGCTGTCCTACCTGCACGATCATTGCGATCCTAAAATCATTCATCGCGATGTTAAAGCTGCAAATATATTGTTGAATGAGGACTTTGAGGCTGTTGTTGGAGACTTTGGCTTAGCTAAACTAATGGACTACAAGGATACCCATGTAACAACTGCTGTCCGTGGAACTATAGGACATATAGCTCCAGAGTACTTGTCAACTGGAAAATCCTCGGAGAAGACTGATGTTTTTGGCTATGGAATCATGCTTTTGGAACTGATTACAGGGCAAAGGGCATTTGATCTTGCTCGACTTGCAAATGATGATGATGTTATGTTGCTTGACTGGGTAAGCGTCAAACATTGTTCCCATGATAATATTTGATGTATGCAGTATGCACTTCTTTCAGTTATATTTTATGATGCTACCATCAGTTCTTAGTCTGCTACTGTTTCAGATTGACCCAGGTCCAGGTTGGTTCTGCTTGGAGTTTAGACTCGACTTTGCTTCATTTTTGCATATAAGGTCTAGCAGTTGAGATCCTCAAGAAGTTAAAGAGGACAGAAAAGTGATACTAATGTCCATAGTTCTTGAGGTTTGGGTCCATGTGTTTGTGATTAGCAAGAGATATTTTTGTTGCGTCTATCAAATTGATGCCACCAGATATTTTTGTTGGAAGTTTCTGCTTATTCTTAGGCTGGTAAATGTTCATTTCGTGCCATGAAGTTATCCATTTTGAGTCGATAACCTGTCAAGTGGTATATCAGGAATCATACATAGATTGTTTTGCACCATAACTTGTGCTTCTTGTTGATATTTCTAGTCATCTAGTATCCCTAAATGTAGGGGATCAACTACCTCAAATTGGGGCCCTTTTATTGGAATAATTAAGCAAGCACATGTGTGTTTCTTTCAGGTAAAAGGACTACTAAAAGAGAAAAAGCTGGAGATGTTGGTTGATCCTGACCTGCAGAACCAGTATATTGAGGCTGAGGTGGAGTCTCTCATCCAAGTGGCTTTGCTGTGTACTCAAGGTTCTCCAATGGAACGACCAAAAATGTCAGAGGTGGTGAGGATGCTTGAAGGCGATGGTCTTACCGAGAAGTGGGAGGAGTGGCAAAAGGTTGAAGTGGTCAGACAAGAGGAGCTGGTCCCACGTCATCACAACGAATGGATTTTAGACTCCACCGACAACCTTCATCCAGTTGAATTATCTGGACCTAGATGACCACTAGATGAAAAATGCTACGAACCATCTAAAATCTCCTACTTTTCATGCATTTCATGTCTTCCGTGACCATATTCTACATCTCGAAGGGAGTTGGTATTGTGTAAATTAATTTATGGGTCCATTGTGTCATGTGTGTTTTCCATTAAAGTGTATTTTTTAGTGAGATAATGTTACAATTCTCTTCTTGCAAGTGGCAGATTTGGTGCCTCTTGCTAGAATGTATGTTTCACGTGTACTAACACAAACTTCTGTTGTCCATGTACAGAATGGTACTCAAACTTTGCTTGTTTGTCAAACATTTAGCCAGAAGATCTTATCGCAAGGATACTCAACCAGGAGACTGTATAGTTTCTATAACACTTCCATCTTTTTCATTTGCATAAAGATCAAAATAATTTTGTGTTCGTGAAACATTCAGATGATATTACCATTGTCACCTGTGTGTGTATTCATCATGGATTGGAAGTTAATTGTTAGGTTTGGCTGCGCGGAAAATACACATCCTGGTACTGTTAAGTTAATGTTGTGTCGTGCTCTTTAGAATCATTTATAAACATTGGAAAGTTCTCGGACTTGCGATTTTATTATTGATGTTACTGTTGTAGAATCATTTGTCGAGTAAAGATTACGATTTTATTGCTATTATTGTTGTGTTGTAAGGTTTTCCGAGATTCATTTACTATTAACATTTATTTTTAACTTAGATTTTTCAAAGCAATACTGAGAGACATAACTGGTTTCACTTCTTTGTGATATCATTAAAAAGTATTGTAGGTTGCATGATGATAGTTTATTCATTTAATTTTTTCTATACAGCAAATTAATTTTCTGCCTTTTTTGAATTCCTCATGGATTTCACTTTCACTCTTAATTTCTCCAAGAAGAGAGGAGCCCTCTTTTCCTAGGAGGATCAAATGACTTGGTTTACATATATATATATATATATATATATATATATATATATATATATATATATATATATATATAGAGAGAGAGAGAGAGAGAGAGAGAGAGAGAGAGAGAGAGAGAGTTTATCTTGGAGGGATAAATTTGATATAAGCTTGTGATGTGCATTAAACCTTTTCCCGCATTTGAAGGCGTCGTGGGCAGTGGGGAAATATATATAAATAGACAAAGTCGTGTAGTAGACAATTTCTACGCGAAATATATATAAATAGAGAGGGAGAATATAGAATCGCCACTAACTCCCGGTCTTCGCCAATCTGCTCGCTCTCTCCCTGTGGGGAAGGAGGTCAAGAAGAGAAGCGAACGAGAGAGATTTCCTTGGTTTGGTTCCGTTGGGCTTCGTTGATCTGTGGATTATTTCTGTCCTCCTCATCTACCTCTTCCTCATTGATTCCTTCTCTTGATCACAGTTTCTGTCTCTACCTCTACACAAGAACGGTGGAGATTCCAGCCATTCCCATGACGGATCCCGCGTGCTCTTCCCCGCTCATCGCGCCAGTCCCTGTCCCCGATCCCAGCGAGATCGACCTGGAAGCCGGCTCTAGCGAGCAATTCCAGTGCCGGATCTGCCTTGAAAGCGATGGTCCTCCTTCTTTTCCCTCTTGTTTCCAGTTTTTTCCTTTCAATCCAGCTCGACTCTTGGTTCTTCCTCGCGGAACTTGGGGAGAGATTCCGATCCTTGATCTCTTGAAAGAGTAGGGGGCCAGAACAGTCGGAATCTTGGATTGTTGTCTGGAGTTGTGTCATTTTGTTGCAGTTTCTTTAGCTGATTGCAATTTTGGGTTTTCTTTATTGGGTTTTTGACTTGCAGCAATGGATTTCATAGCGCCTTGCAAGTGCAAGGGGACTTCCAAGTACGTCCACCGTGACTGCTTGGACCACTGGCGGGCTGTGAAGGTGAGTGCTCAGTTTTCGCTTGTGCGTGCCTTTTGGTTAAGGTTTCGGCTTAAATGCGCCCTTGAAATATATTTGGAACATCCTCGCTTGTCGTGTAAGAATATAACAATACTCATCATATGATTTGTTGAGTTTTAGTGTTCTAGATGCAAGTATCAACTGTGATTATTGCGGCCATAGGGGTATAGCTGCACCAATCTGATTTTTATGTGAAGGGACTTTTAATAGAAAAGTAAGATTTAGTGTTCAAGATGGACAAAGATGACCTATCCCAACAGCTCAAACTTTTAGATGCATTGTAATGGAACAGCTTAGGGCAAGGTTGAGATTAGAATAGCGGAGGAATCTAAGGAACATGGTTCACCTTACCGGTCTGTATCGGTATATCGAACTATCATGAACTTAGCTGGTTTTGCCCAAGTCGTGCGGCACCCTTACGTGTCCATCTGCAAAGGTCAGCCTCCCCGAAATCTCCTATGGTCCATTAGGACCTATAAAAGAGAAAATGGGTTAGAGAAAGCGTCTCATTCGGGATCCACAAGCAATCATTTCAGTAAACACTTCATAACCAATGCAAATTACAAACAGACTTTACAAGCTCTGAACGGTCGCACAACAAAGGATCCAAAATGGTCAACTACAAACCGAAAGAAAATCGGGCTGCTAAGCCTACTGTCAGCCCTTTACATGTTGTGCAAAGCATGAACAAACCAAAAAACATGGACATACATAAGCATTACGTTGAACACCCTATTTACAATTTTGTCAGTGACAGAACGACGGTTAGTATGGTACATATCGAGCTGTACTGACATACCGACATATGATACAGTAGGATGTACCAATAGTATAGTATATACTTTTTGTACCAATCCTTTATTGGATTGGTATGCATTGTTCGTACCGGAC